TCGTGCTCTAGTTAATCTACTAAAAAAAATTTAATTTTATGTTTTTAGGATCTTTTATCTCAGTTAAGCTCATTTAACTCATTGAATGCTACTGATGACTTTGACAGAAATATGAAATCATTTTAAGGCAGTGCCTGCTGTTGCAGATGTGCAATCTGACCACTCTGTAAATTGTTAATTTAAGAAGCAATGTACTTAAAGCTGTTTTCCAATTCTGTTGAATTTAAAGAAAGAATAATTTAGGTCTATGCTTGGGTCAGTCAAGATTTTTCCTGTACACTTCAGAGAGCAAACAGAAGATAAAGAAGAAGAAAAGGAAGATTTCCCTTACACTGCTAAACTGGCCAAGATAAGGGACTTTGTTAAGAGAGAGAAGATACCTGATCCAAATGAAATTAGAGAAGAGTTAGGTAAACACTATGTTCTATGTGAACAGTATACATATTTGTAATGTATTACCCACATGTGTATTAAGTTGGCTGAATTAAATTTAAAAGTTTAAACTCCTTTAAATGGCTGCTACAGGTGAAAGTAGAGGTACCTTTAAATTTATCATCCTTAAGTATTGCTTCAGCAAGTTTATGCATATTAATGTAGCATACTTAAATGTGGGACTACCATTTCTGAAGATATAATAGACTTGATAGTTCTTGATGATGGATTGGTCATGAACAAACTTGATATTAAGAATATTTAGATTAACCTGGTTCTGTTTATCTGTCTTGTCAGGATCAACTTACTAATTAATTTGCTATTGATCCTATTATGGGTCATAGGTGCTTAATGAAACAGAATAAAATGTAGAGACAACTGCATCATGTTACACTATGGGGATATGGACAAAAGCCTATCCCCCCCCCCCCCCAGGACGAAAGCCCCCCCTGTCTAAAAATGACAAGGTGGACAAAAGCCCCCCATGAAATTTACACATAGGATAAAAGTCCCCCCCCATAAAACAGTAAAGGTAGGACAAAAGCCCCCCACCCCTTGGTCAATCAAATTTACATATAGTGTATTAAAGTTGTGTTTTTTATGTGTTTAAAAGATATGTATGGACATCACATGTAGGTGACATAAAGCTAAGGATATTAATTTGATCCCTTTACAAATTTACAAAAGTGATTAAACATTACTACTCTTCTGACCCTTGTTGTGTATATGAAAAGCTATGAATTCAGTATCGCATGCATGCATTATTTCATCTGTTATCATATACTTTGTTATCACTTCAATATATACATTATAAATAAACATTAAAACAAATTCTTTTCATTTTTATTTAAAAATGAATTTGAGCACCTGTGCATGTGAAAAAAGATGGGGGAGGGGGGCTTTTGTCCTACCTGTATTTTTGATGGGGGGCTTTTGTCCTATGTGTAAATTTCATGGGGGGGCTTTTGTCCACCTTGTCATTTTTAGACAGGGGGGGGGGGCTTTTGTCCTACACTCTACACTATGCAGTACTTATTCTGGTGATGATGTATGGTCATGTCAACATTCTTGTGTATTTAATTGACTAAAAAAAAGTCACTTTATTGATTTATATACATTTACATGTATAAAGTTTGATTCTACTTGCATGAAAGGAAAACATGGAATTAATAAGACTAATATTGACTATTAGTATATAATGTTGGGTGTGGTGGCAAGTTGAGAAAGTTTAGTTTAAGTCTGAACCAACCAAATTTGTGTTATAGTTTTACCCCTATTTAGAACAGTTAATTTAAAGTTGAAAGAATTTCAATATAAAAATTAAGACAGAACCAGTATAGAGCATGTTCTTACTGCAAGAATGAATTAACTGGCATAGTTTTATAATTGTGATAAAACCTAATCACTATCAGTTCAAGCAGACTAAGAATTAATACAAACTCAATCTAAAGAAAATATGAGTTTATGATTGTTTAATTTCTGAAATGACTATTTCAGGTGTGTTTATATCAGCTCTTGAGTCTGTCCCAGCAGCAATTTATTGCTTCCTGAGGGCATCACAGCATGTTGATGAATTAAAGGTAGACACTTTACTATTAATAGTAACTGACAGTTTATCATGTCATGACTAAAAAAATGCCACATTCTAGTATATTTAATTGATTTTGGGACCGTCAGCATTGTGGCAAAGAAATCTGGCCTCAAAACACAAATATGAAGGGTTCTATGCTGAAAGGGGTGAAATCAATATTTCCTTATAATTAATGGGCATTTCTTAGTCACATGATTAGATTTGGAAGTGATTAATACAAGCTGAATGAATTTCCTTCAAAATTGAATTGAGATAAACATTTTTTATGATGAGTTGATGTTCAGAAATAATGTTGTGGTTGTTTTTTTTTTAAATTATTTAACGATTAAACTATTAATTCTTAAATGTACAGACTATTGGTAATTTATCAAATTTCAGGGCAGAAATGAATTTGAGAGGACCATTATATACGCAATATCCCTGGGTGGTGACACTGATACCGTGGCAACTATGGCAGGGTCAATAGCTGGAGCATACTATGGTCTTGATAGTATTCCATCGTCATGGCAACTGTGTTGTGAAGGTCGTTTAGATGCACAGAAGGATGCTGAACTATTATACAACTTGACCTGAATTGAACTCTTTGATGACATTATGACAAAACAGTTATTAATGAAAATCATGTAAGATCTGTTACAAAGCAGAAACTGTTTTACACTGATAAAGCTACAGCTTCAAGTCTTTTTGAACAGTTTGGAAAAAATCATGTAAGAGATAGAACTGATAAAACAATATTAGGAATATGGATATAACATGCATTTCCTCAAACAGATTTAGCTGTAATTATAGTTTATGATTTTGGTAGACTGGTGGGTAAAAGGTTTATTAATAGACACTTTATCATCTTAGCCAATGAAGCTAGAAACATGAGATTTGACTTTTACATTGTCAATATGACTTTAAACATAATGAAATAATGAATTTACTGCTGCTAAATTTTCATGAGTGTCTACTTTATTTGTGATTTACAAAATGTGTGCAATTCTTCATAAACAAGGTCACATGTGTTGCCCAATTGTTTTATTATTTATCCTTTGTGCCTATTATATTTGTATAATTTTTACAGTGCTTTAAGTTTATCTATTTATAGTTTGCTGCTAACTGTACAGAACTTCATGCCTCAGCATAATAATAACTTATTAGGGACTGAAAGTTGTTTGCATTTGAGATTATTTCTTAAGAATGATAAACTTATTTTCTCAGGATGGCCAGGCCATGAGGTATACATGTAAGACATCATTTTAAGGTATCACATGCAGTATTTGTGAACATTGTTTATTGTTGCAAAAAGTCACACAATCCAAATTGTATGTTTGACAAAAGAACCATTTAGACAACAATTTTTCATGTTAGCTTTTGCTCTAATTAATTTAAATTTATGAACTAATAACGTCTGTAAAGCTGTTTTCTCCTCTGAATGGAGGCAAGAATGTTGAATGTAATATGGTGATGACATCATATACCATGTGGCAAGGCTGCCCTGTTAATGTAAGCAATCCTTCTTATAGTTTTGACACAAAGTATTTAATATATGACTAACAGTATTTCAGTTTCATGGTATGATACATGTACATAGCTTGTTGCCTTAAAAAAGTAATTTAAACCATTTAAGAATATTTATACACCCCATTATTTTTCTGTTATGAAAAAAAAATTTACTTGAATATGGATGCATTTAGCGTCAGGACTAAAATATGTTCATCAAAAGTGGACTAAGCAACTGATATCAGATAAAATCTTTAATGAACTTGCACACTTATTAATTTTTATATAAATTTAGCCTTGTTATATAACATGTACTGCTATTTTGTGGTGTTTTTTTTTTAATTCATTTTTTTACTCTGTATAACAGAAACAATGTCTACTTGTTATGTAAATCATTTGTTCATCTTTTAAATTACAAGTAAAAGCAGATCTTTAACCTTTTTCCTGCTGCATTTGTATATTTTAATTTGTGGAAACCAATTATTGGTGAATCGAAGAATTTCCAATAATTGTTTCTATGTCGGAATACTGTTCAGCAACCAACACAGACTGTAGGCAAATGATGACTGGGTGGGCTATGTACTCGTGGTATAACATACAAAGTCATTATTTCTGATATATACAGGTATTAGGTGTTCATTAACCTTGTTAGCATGGGGAATGTGATATTTTTATTTTAGACATTGTATTAACATATCATGTCAGGTGTCAGATTTAATATATTTTATACTGCAATACTTGTTGTTATATGTACTGCCCAACTTTAAATGGGTGATTATTCTCATAGGGACCCAAAATAAATTTTCATTATACCCCCACAAACGAAGTTTTGGGGATTAATGGGAGTCAGCTTGTCAAACTTGGTATATAGCAAGCTTATGAGAAGACCCCAGTTGGTATAGCTTTTGGACCCCCCTGGGGGTCAAGGTCACTCTTACTAAAAATAGAAAAATGCTTTACTGAGAATAACTAGAGTTAAGAATGACATATTATAATCAAATATGATATATAGCAAGCTTTTATGAAGACTCCAGTTTGGATTGCTTTTGAACCCCCTCAAGTCAAGGTCAGGGTCACTGTTACTAAACAGAGAAAAATGGTTTCCGGACATAGACAGTTTGGAATGAGATAATATAATCAAACATGGTATTAAGCAAGCTTATTTGAAGACCCAGCTGGTATTGCTTTTGGGCCCCCTGGGGTCAAGGTCACTAGAGATATACATCCTGTAAAGTATAAATTGTTCCCGGAGACTAGCAGGCTCTCCCCGGCACGGCGTAACAATATTGCTACATGTTTTTCAACATGCGTTTTCAAAACGGAAAAAACGACTTAAAATAAGACGTAAGTTTTAATAATAATCAATACAATCCTATGTGCATGATACATTTGGGTGCTAGACATTATGAACATAAATTTCGTGATTATCGAGCAAAATCATTAATGTAGTCACATGTGTTCGGTGCGTTGATTGCTCACTTCTCTATAACCACCACCTGTGTACTATGGTGGCTGATTTGGTACATTGCGCGTTGCGTTGTCGATAGCGACAACGCAACCTATATCGTTATCGCCTTTTCGTTTTGTCGCGTTGTCGTCCTGTCTCGAGCGAAGCACGCAAAAACGACGCGTTGTCATGCGGTGCCATGTCGCCCTGTCGCCAATCCTTCGATTTGAACCGAGCAACAATGTGACATCGCGACAACACGCCGCACGACAACGCGCCTTTTGGCGTACATCGTTAGCGACAGGACGACAAGACATAAGTCCGACAATGCGCGATTTGGCGCTTTGTCCTGTTGTCGCTAGCGCCAACACGACGCACAAAAGCGTTTCAAATCAGTCACCATACGCTATCGACAACGCAATGAGCAATGTACAAAATCAACCACCATACGATGACGTAGTTTTATATCACTTTTGAAATCACTGAACTCATGGGAACTAACTAACTACAATTTTTGCACTGCGACCCCTGATAGACGGTTGCTGCATCTATGTCGCTCATTAACACCCCAATTATAATTTGCGGAGTGGAACGAAACGGAACGGACACACATTTATGCACCACGTATGCGGGACAATAATTTTAATTAAATTACAAACATGTTTACTGTTTGACAAATATGATTTGAAATAACATGCACTAATAAAGCTGAAATAACACTATTTTTTAATTTATTTACAAAAATTATATAAGTTTCCAACCAATAGATAGGAGCGTCGATGTCGCGAGTTCGACCTTTGGGCGGGCAATTTTCTCCTTGATGATTTGATAAGACATTTAGTCTGACATCATTCCTCCTCCACCTCTGAGACATGTAAGTTGGCAGTTACAAATCTTGTTCCGTTCCGTTAAGTATAATAGTCATAGGGGATATTTATACATTGAGGAACGAAACGGAATCACAATTAATACAATTGAAGACATGGTTTGTAAACAACGCTGGCTGTAATAATGATAATTAGTAACTCGTGGCCACGACATAGTATCTCGTTCCCACAACTTAGTTATCTCGTGGCCACGACTTAGTAACTCGTGCACACAAGATAAATAAAAACACACACACCACCGTAAGTTTCCACATTTCTAGCTGTATTTGATTTATTTGTTGTCATGTCTAAAAGTCTTCAGTAGTAGAATAGGTAGTCTGCTATTTCGTTTTTGCATCATGAATGATTATAATAATACGTGAATTTTTACAAGTTTTATAAAGGAGGAAATTGATAATGGTTATGAATAACTAATCTTTTTCTTTCTGTTCCGCTAAATATCGTTATCCTAGGGGATATTTGTACTTTGCGGAACAAAACGGAATCACAATGACATGGTTTGTACACAACGCGGACTGTAATATTGTTATTTCAGCTCCTTTAGTGCATGTAATTTCAAATTATAATTGGCAAGCTATTCAAAATTAATTTACACGTTTTTGCGATGATTATTAATATTTTTTAGAATTTTATATACATTGTATTTATGTGGAGTGCACTGGATATGAATATTAAATTACTGCAACAAGTGCGAAACATTTAAATATATAAATTTTATGGCGATAGGATTTCCTAGACATTTTTTTAAATAGGTTGCATGTACATTTGTATTTAATTCATGTATCTGTTATACACCAGGATGAAAAATTCCATTGTCCAGAAAAAAAAAAATATCTTGTTCCGTTCCGTAGAATACCATTATCCTAGGGGATATACTTTGCGGAACGAAACGGAACAGCTGTTTGCAGTAATGTCCATTTAGAAGTGGGTATTCGTAAAAGAAAGCCCTAGGTCGACTGTTTGCTCGGCAGTTTCAATTTTTCATTTAGGAAACAAATTAATAAAAATTGCTGTGCCCTTGTGGTGCCCCCCCAGATAGCAGACAGTAGTTGGCCCAACGTTGGGCCAATTACATTTGCTTTGTTGGCCCAACACATAATGCCAACATTGGCCCAATGTCAATTTGCTAATTGGGGCAACGTTGGGCCAACGGTTGGTATATGGTTGGCCCAACGACTGCATTCCTACTCTTATCGTTGGCCCTCCATTGGCCCAATGACTGGTTTTCCTTCCTATCGCTGGCCCTCTGTTGGCCCAACAACTGATTTCCCTTCTTATTGTTGGCCCCCCGTTGGCCCACTGACTGGCTTCCTATAATAAACATTGGCCCTTCGTTGGCCCAATGCCTTATTTTCTACTATCTAAGTTGGCTCTCAGTTGGCCTATCACTTTGTTTCCTACCCTTATTGTTGGCCCTCCATTGGCCCAATTACTTGTTTCTTACTACTAACGCTGGCCCTCAGATGACAAGACCAAAAACAGCATGTCTCCTAGAATTCAGAGAGACCGTAAAATAAAAGAACATAAAATATTCTAATTACTACAATTTATTTCTAAATGTTGTTCACATATCATTTTCATTTTCTTCTCTTTGTTGTTGCAACTTTTTAGTCAGTCTAGCTCTTCCTCCGCCCGCCTCCCCTATCCTTGGCATATCTTAGCCACTCCTTCATTGTCTTCTTGATTTCATTATGAGTAGACCCCTGTCTACTTCCTCTTACAGCATCTGAAATTTATACAGTTTACTGATTTTATTTGAATATACACTACTAATTAGAATTTACTAGTTTAAAGGCAAATGAAACTGAAAAACTGCAAACAGAGCTAAGGGATAAGACTTTGATAGTAAAGAAATATTTTAAATTACAAGTCAATAGATTTAATAGTAACAGAGATATTTGACATAATTAAAAAATTTAACCTAAAATTTTAAAGTTAAAAAAAGACATAATTCTGTCAAAATGCAAACAGAGACATGATGATCATTTACAACACAAGAGTCATATCTTACACCCACGGTGTAAAATAAATTTTTAGCACCGGTGAAATCAACTTTGAAAAAGTAAAAATACAAACCTTATATGACTGTTTTAAGTCTAAGTTTTTCGAATGGTTTTTTCGAGCCTTTTCCAACCCAGTAGTATTCTAGGGCAACTTCCTAAGACAAAGTGTGAGACATAACACGGCGAACATTGCTCTCCACACTATCTCCTCCAATTAGACATAAATTTGCTGTCTGAAATGAAATAAAAACAATTTTGCAGTCGGTTAAAGTAATTTGTGTTTAATGCGAAGTTACACTTTAAATTAAATTTACACAAAGTTTCGTATACCACTACCAAACATATTGATATAAATTACCTATTTATTACTCAGAGCAGATTGTATGAGCTTAATGCTAATTGTAGTTTGACAGTTTGTACTAACATGCAACTTATCAAAGATTTTTAGCAGTTATCACAATAAATTCAGATGTAAAATTATGCACATATCATATTTTAAGCTGATTAACACTGATATAATTAAATGGTTTTAATTTCATTACAAAAATCAAATTCATTCTGACTTGTTTACCTGAAAACATCAAAGTATTTTCCATTACCAATCCGCCATTTTGTATTAATCACATGACCTGGTCACGTGGATAGTATAACAGGTTTTAAGCAGGTTTAAATACATTAATATATTAGAAGGGTTTATTTTAAACATGTTAAAGATTAAAGTAAAAAACTCTAGATCTACTTACATGTTTCAGTGTTGAGAAATTGCAGTCTAATTCAAATTTATTTAAATATATCTGTAAACACGTCCACGCAGCTCGAAATCAAGGGAGGGAGGGAACGGATGGGTAGTGCCAAAATGATCCAATTCATTGATTACATAACCAGAGGTTAATTAGAGTTTAGAGTGGAAGATTCCGGAGGTTTATTGTAAACATTTAGGATGGTTATTCCAGCACATGTATAATTGCCTTAGATTATACATCAGATCTTCAAGATTTCTATAGATCTATATAGATACATCCCCTACTACTGCATAGCCTGAGCTTTGGTCATTTCTAGACTCAAAAAGTAATTATTTCTTACATACATTTCTGATTTAATTTATATGACTATATTTCTTGAATGTGACAATATTGAAACATGGCTTCAAAAAAAACTTTATAAACTTTAATCTTTACTCATTGTCGTGTACTGTTTATATACAGTAAAATATCTACATGCATAAAAATTATATGTGTTTAAAAAAAAAATTTTGGGTCAGGTGCAGTAATATATTTGACGAAAATGTATCGTTGGTCAAACGTTGGCCCAACATCTGTTTTAAAGTACATATTTATCATTATTGGGCTAATGCATAAATGTCGCTGGTGTTAACTTATGGTTGGTCCGACGTTGGGCCAACAACTGCATTTCTAGTACATGTTAATTAGTGTTGGGCCAACCATGACCCAACAACGATTTTCCTTTGACGATTTTCCGTGGTTGGCCCAACCACTGCATGTTTACAGGGCCAATGGTTGTTCTGTTCCGTAATGTATAAATAGCCATTAAATGTGGTGGTGGTGGTAGTTTTCACGTAAGCCACATTGAATTACCAGAGCACAGTTCAGCCACTGCATCGTTCCTTGGCAGGCTGTCAAGCAGTTTACCAGTACTAGTTGCCTTCACTTTCGCAAGGAACTGAAACTTCTGTACATACAAGAGCAGAGGTACAGTGCGAATGACCGCTCATTATTAAATCTCGCCCCGCGCCCCCGCGAATTAGCGTGTTTTCGCTTTAATTCCTTAAATATCTTGCTCCGTCATTTAAACATGTTAATAAGTTATTCTATAATCATTTATGTACCTTTATGCTGACGATACGGTTATTATAGCTGAAAGTCCTAATGAGTTACAAAAAGCATTAAATGCAACGTCTGATTACTGTAATACTTGGGGCTGCCAAAACAAAAATTGTTGTGTTCTGTAAAAGTGAAAGGGGGTTGAATAATATCAGTCCTCTAGAGTTTGAGGGTAACATTCTTGACATCGTAGATTGTTTTGAATATCTTGGGGTTCAGTTTTCATTTAAAGGGAAAAAAATTGGCACAAGAAAAAAATCTGTTGATCTATAAAAGCTATGTTTTCTGTGTTAACAAAGTCTGGTAAAGTTGCATTACCATTTGATCTACAATTGAGTTTATTTGATGCAATCGAGTGTAGGTATTACCGAACATTATTTTCTTAATATTTTATACGGATCAGAGGTCTCAAAATGAAATATATTAAATTGGTTTTCGGACTAAAGCAATCTACACCTTTAAGTCCAGAGTTCTCAACTATTTGGGCAAACTGATTAAAAAGATAAAATTTGTTCTATGGCGTATTTCTTGTCACATTCTCTGAGTTTGATGTGGATTTTCTCAATATGGTTTTAAAAAATACTTTAACATTTTACCATCAGATTTAGCAATAGCGTTTTTTTTTTTTTTTTTTTTTTTTTTTTTTTTTTTTTCAAAGAGATCTATGAACCACAGAAGACAAATTGAAACAGGTGGATTTTTTAATTAGATAGAAGTCAAAGAATGTCTTGTTAAGTGACGAATTTCATTATTTATTTAACTGTTTATATGATTTTCATTACCCTGGGATATACGATAATGTCCCAGCATTACCTGAGAAAGACATATTTAGACAATTCGTATTTTCATAGACCAAACATTGTTAAACTTTCGAAGTTAATGAAATGTTTTACTCCATCTTGCAAAATTCTGTAATTATTGTTTGTTCTTAATTATACATATTGACATAATTTTACTTTTTGATCTCATTCTCCGATTTTAAATACATGTTGATCTACAATGTATTATTATTATTTTACTTTTTTTCTTATGTTTAGTACATATGTTCATAGCATTGCCATGGTTTCATTTTAATATATGTCACTTTACTTTGTTTTGTAATCATTTGTTACACATGCCCAGGTGGGCCTTGAGATATCAATAAAACTTTGGCGGGATCGCGGGGCGAAAACACGAATGACACCAATCAGCCACCATAGTTTTGTATCGATTGGGCGATTACGGAAATTGACGAAGTACCATTCGTCTGTTTCCGTCGACCGCCATTTCTTAGTGATTCTCCCACCATTTTGAATATCACGCCTGCATTTCATTTTGAAATCCTTGGCAAATTCATGATCAATTATTCTAATTTTCACGGTAAGTCAAACAAAGGTGATAAGAGAAAGGAAAGAAATTGAAAAGAAAAGGTGCACATTTTTGGAATCGTGAATGTATTGTAAATATTTGATGTGTTTGTGACGTCGGTGAAATTTTAAAATGCTGATCTAACTTTTCATAATTTTTACAGAGCACCGTGACGTTATATCTTCAATTTGTGAGCTTTTCCAACCTATTTCTTTGATATTTAAAATGAGCAGCTGAGGGAAAAATCTGTTTTTATCTGATATCGAATAAAGTTCTGAAATAGGTTGTGCTGATAGTGATAGGATACGGGTAGATGTCAAGACTTGGTTTTTTTATGTCTGACGTGGAAACAATGACAGTGCAAAACATGTCAAAAGATTACAGGTCCAAGCTTAACAGTTATCCAAACGTCAAAAGTTTATGTGCAATGCAAGTTTAGGCTTATAGTTTAATAAGTGACCAGGGACCTTTGGATATTTTTAAATTCTGCTTTTCCATGAGTAAATTTTGTCCACAAATTCATTTCTTAGTGATCCTGCTGCATAGCTCATTGATTAGTTGCAGAATAGTTTGCTGAGGGTCCCAGTAAGGCCGCTTATTTTAATTCTGCCATGTTTGTAGTGGCAGCCTGCACTTTGTATGTAGTACCCATAGATCTTAGAAGTACCATATGTTATTATAACTCGTAATACTACCAAATAACTTTGTTATTAATCTCTTTTTCTGTTCTGTTCTCTTTCAGATGCTTCCTCTGTTTAAGAAGTCGCACATTCACTCACGCCATATTGAAGATATTCTTAAAACAGGACATATCGCAGAAGAATATGCAGAAGAAAACAATAAACGAAATGCTTTACGTCAAGCAAGTGTTCTTTACAGAATTGTTGACAATGAACTCTTCAGGCATGGTACAGAAAGAGAATATCAAAAATATGGTCTCCGATTGGTTGTTCATGATGACCAGCCTGAGAAAAAAGCAGAAATCATCGCAAAGTGTCATTTAGATTATATGGGAAGTCATCTTGGGATGAACAACACAATTAAAAATGTGTGTGATACTTATTACTGGCAGGGCATTTCAGCACATGTAAAGATGTACCTTAAACAGTGTGAACAGTGCAAAAATAGGTATTATTTTTAAAAAGAAATAAGATAATGTAGAAAAAAGCTTTGAAGCTTTGATCCTTTATAAGATCAGACTAAGGTAAAATTATTGTCATACATGTATAAATTCTTAATTTTCGGTATCAGCTTTAGTATGTCTCCCAATATTTTTGGGAGACATATTGTTTTTGCCTTTGCCGTCTGTCTATCAGTCGACATTCAGCTTGTCCGCCCTTCACAGGACAAACTACTGGTGGGATTTTAACCAAACTTTACAGGAGTGATCAGTACCATCCCTAGTTGTGCACATCACCGTCACGTTCTGCTTCACTGCACAAAATGGCCGTTAGAGCTATACATAGAAAGATCTTGTCTGGTTTTCACAGGTCAAGCTACTGGTGGGATTTCAATGAAACTTCACATGAGTGACCATACATAGTTTTGGGAGACATATGTTTTTGTGACTGACACCCTTCTAGTTTAACTTCGGGTCATTCTTTTAATTAAACAAAAGATATTGATTCACCCCATTTATCAATGAAGAATTTTTTGAGTGTAGGTTACTTTATGCTTTTGTTCATAACTTCATTGTATAGTCTTTAGTTTATGTTAACATAAGCGATGAATTGGAAAAAAAAGAATAATAATAATGAAAAGAACAATAACCAAAAAAGAAAAACACAAAAAGTGATGTATCTAGATAATGAAGGTTTCATTCTTCTGTCTGACTGAAATTCTCTTGCAGCATATAATACAATGTAACTCAGGGCTCACACTGGCTCAAATAAAATAATAGCCAATATTTTTAACTTAAAAAAATAATAGCCAAAAGTTCAGCGGACTATTCACGATTTAGCGATTAACAACTTAAGCAGTTGATTAAATAAACATTACATATAAAACTTTTTCAGTTTTATAAGGATTCTCAAATAAACTTATACATTTGCGGTTACATGACTTACCGGAATCGGCCGAATTACCGGAATCGACCGGAATCGGCGGTGAATTACCGGAATCGACCTGTAACTTTGTAATAATTAAACTTTTTAAGTTTTTTTTTGCAATTTTATAAAATATAAACAATATCAATGATTTATGAAAAGATTTTTATAAATAAAATCGCTTTTGATTAATTTATCAAGAGATCTAATATCGGCGAGCTACTGCCAAACTGCCTGTGACCGGAATCGGCCTGTTATTTCGTTGTTTATGCAACTTTTAATGTTCCTTTTGCATGTTTTTATAAAACCTAAATATTATCATTAATCTTCCTAGAGATTGTGAAAAAATCGCTTTTAAATAATGATAATAATAAACAAATATTTATGATCAGCGAAAACGGGCAAACTGCCGGAATCGGCAAAGGATTACCGAAATCGGCCTGTAATTTGCTTATCTATATACTTTAAACAAAATGTTTGCACCCTTGATTATAAATAAACAATAGCAATGATATGTAATCAGAGTATTGTCAATAAAACCACTTTTTATTAATTAAATAAGATATTTAATATCGGCGAGTTACTGCCATACTGTCGGAATCGGCGAAGGATTACCGGAATCGACGTATAATTTAGTCTATTGTACTTTTTAACGTTTTTGTTACATATTGTTAATATTCATCTTATAAAATATAAATATAATGAAAGATATTTAAAAGTTTCTTTCTTTCTTTTATTTTGTAAATTTCAATTCGCCTTTGGTTAATAAAGCAAGAGATCGAAGATCGGCGAGTTACATACCCTACTGTCATACAGCCGAAATAGGCGAATGATTACCGGAATCGGCCTGTATTATTGTAATTTATGGACTTTGCAAGAAAAAATGCAAACAATATAATAGATGTCTTAAAAGATTTCTGTAAATGAAGAATCCTTATTAAATAATAAGCTAGAGATCTAAGGTCGGCGAATTACTGCCATATCGCATAATTATATGCAGTGCCAGGGCTATCGGACAATTACCGGAATCTGTCTGTTTTTTCCCCACCAATATTTCAACGTTTAAAAAATAACCTTGAATTATTTTATTAAACACAAACAATATAAACGATTTTTATAATGTTTATTGAAATCGGTATCAAATAAGAAGCAAAAGATTTATGAAAAATCGCTGTTGTATAATAATAAAAAGATTAATATTGAAGATCGGCAAAAAACGGGAAACCTGTCGGAATAGGCGATGGATTACCGGAATCAACCTGTAATTTGGTTATTTGTGAACTTTTTAAATATTTCTTTTGCATGTTTTTATAAGATATAAATATTTTCAACGATATTCATTTTTGTAAGTAAATTTGCTTTTGATTAATAAAACAAGAGACCTAAGATCGAATGACTGTCATACTGCCGATATAGGAGAAGGATGGGCGGGATCAGCCTGTATACTATAGTTATTTTTATGTTATTTTATTAAATGCAAATAATATCATTGATATAAAAAGATTTTTTGAGAAATAAAGGTCACTTCTTATTATAAACTGGATGTCTAAGATAGACTAATTACTATCATAGTGCCTGAATTAACAGGGAAATACCGGAATTAGTCTGTTATTTTGTTAAATTTCAGCGTTTTAAAAATATCTTGCCATATTTTATTAAATACAAACAATTCAAATGATATTTAATAATATTTATTGTAATCGCTATTACATAATAAACAAGGTGATCTATGATTTCTTCCATACTACCGAATCGACGAGCGATTACCGGAATCGGCTTCACTTCGTCTAGGATTACTGGAATCGGTTCTAATTTTGTTATGAATGTGAACTTAATATAATTATTATCATTTATTTTTGCATGTATTTACAAACATAATCATTGATCTATTATGGAATAATGCAATATCGTCTTTACATTATATTTTTTCAGGACATTGCTAACAGAGGATTGTTTGAAATGACGGATAACAATAGGTCAGTTTAGTCTTTCTTTATGTTTGCATAACTCAATTCTTGATTTCATAAAGTAGTCGATTTATAATTACATGCAATAATTTTTATTTGAATCTTTATTTAAACAATACAAACCTCATAAAATATTCACGTGAAATCAATGTTTTACCAGGCAGTTAAATCGTACTTACTTGACAGTTCAAGGTCATTCTGGAGTATCAAATCAATTGTCGTCATTTGCGTTATTGGTGCACCATAAAAATATTACAAAGATTGCAAATGAGTCAATCGTTGAAACATAGATTATTTAGTCTTAAATAGTAAACAAATCATATATACCCGTAACGTATAAAACAGTGAGATATGGATGTTATCTATATACGCACAGATGATACTGTCACTTTATTGGAAGTAAACGAGCTGTATATCGGGAGCTGTGTATTGGGAAGTGTGATATACTACAAAACAGTGGGGTGCCAATATACGGTATGCTGATATATTTCATAGTGGGAGGGTCTGTCTGTTAGAGAAAGCGTGTTGTTAAGCAAGCTGTAGCTGGAATCGGGGAATGATTAACGGAATCGGCCTGTAATTTTGTTACTTATGAACTTTAAAAAAAAATCTTGCATCTTTTATAAAATATAAACAATATTAATGACATGTAAAAATATTTTTTATAAATAAAAATCGCTTAAGATTAATTAAGCAACATACTTAAGATCAGCTAGTTACTGTCATACTGCCGGAATCGAGGAATGATTACCGGAATCGGCCTGTAATTTTGTTATTCATGAACTTTTAAACTTTTATAAAATATAAACAATTAATGACATGTAATAAGATTTTTTTCATGAAAAAACACATTTGATTCATTAAACAAGAGATTTAATTATGATCAGCAAGTTACTGTCATCTGGGACATACGATATATCGTATGGTCCAGCTGTCATACTGCTGGAATCGGGGAATTATTACCAGAATCGGCAAGTAATTTTATTCATGAACTTTTTAAGAATTGACATGTACAAAGATTTTTATAAACAAAATCACGCTTTATTAATTAAACTAGATAAGCAAGTTACTGTCATACTGTCGGAAGGATTGTTATTCGGGTAGTTTGGCAGTAGCTCGCCGATATTAGATCTCTTGTTAAATTAATCAAAAGCGATTTTATTTACATTTTTTTTTTACGTTTCATTGATATTGTATAAAGATGCAAGAACCTTTTTTTTTTAATCTTTATTAATAACCAAATTATACGCCGATTTCGGTAATCCTTCGCCGATTCCGACAGTATGGCAGTAACTCGCCGATATTAAATATCTTGTTTAATTAATCATTTATCAATGAGATTTTATTTACAAAAATCTGATTACATATCATTGATATTGTTTATATTTAATCAAAGATGAAAAAAGATATATATATCACATTATTTAACTATTGTGTGTTTATTTGGGATGTTCGCGGAACATGTCATTATTAATTCAGTGTCATAAGTAACTACATGTATATATCATAGTCCTTTACTTAAAGGATCTTCTTCCATTTTTAATTAATAATTAAATGGGTCAAACGGTTAGAAATTATGCTAAACTTTGAAAAGAATCTTAAGATCTATACAGGGTGTTTATATTGTTGTTTAGTTTTTACATTGACTAAATCTTAAGTCTTTAAAAATTATGAAGTTCAATAAATCCTATGACTTAATTCATCGATCTACAGCTTGCTTAACAACAGGCATTCTCTAACAGATAGTCTCTCCCACTATGAAATATTTCAGCATACCGTATATTGGCACCCCACTGTTTGTAGTATATCACACTTCCCAATACACAGCTCCCAATATACAGCTCGTTTACTTCCAATAAAGTGACAGTATCATCTGTGCGTGTATAGTTAACATCCATATCTCACTGTTTTATACGTTACGGGTATATATGATTTGTTTACTATTTAAGACTAAAGAATCTATGTTTCAACGATTGACTTATTTGCAATCTTTGTAATATTTTTATGGTGCACCAATAACGCAAATGACGACAATTGATTTGATACTCCAGAATGACCTTGAACTGTCAAGTAAGTACGATTTAACTGCCTGGTAAAACATTGATTTCATGTGTATATTTTATGAGGTTTGTATTGTTAAAATAATAATTCAAATAAAAATTATTGCATGTAATTATAAATCGACTACTTTATGAAATAAAGAATTGAGTTTTGCAAACATAAAGAAAGACAAAACTGACCTATTGTTATCCGTCATTTCAAACAATCCTCTGTTAGCAATGTCCTGAAAAATATAATGTAAAGACGATATTGCATTATTCCATAAAAGATCAATGATAATGTTTGTAAATACATGCAAAAATAAATGATAATAATAATATTGAGTTCACATTCATAACAAAATTAGAACCGATTCCAGTAATCCTAGACGAAGTGAAGCCGATTCCGGTAATCGCTCGTCGATTCGGTGGTATGGAAGAAATCATAGATCACCTTGTTTATTATGTAATAGCGATTACAATAAATATTATAAGATCATAGATCACCTTGTTTATTAAGTAATAGCGATTACAATAAATATTATAAGATATCATTTGAATTGTTTGTATTTAATAAAGTATGGCAAGATATTTTTAAAACGCTGAAATATAACAAAATAACAGACTAATTCCTGTATTTACCTGTTAATTCAGGCACTGTGATAGTAATTAGTCTATCTTAGATATCTAGTTTATAGTAAAAAGGTGATCTTTACTTCTCAAAAGAATCTTCGTATATCAATGATATTATTTTCTTCAATAAAATAACATAAAAATAACTATATTACAGGCTGATTCCGCCCATCCTTCCCCTATATCGGCAGAATTACAGTAATTCGCCGATCTTAGGTCTCTAGTTTTATTAATCAAAAGCAAATTTACTTACAAAAATGAATATCGTTGAAAATGTTTATATCTTATATAAAACATTCAAAAGAAATATTCAAAAAGTTCACAAATAACCAAATTACAGGTCGATTCCGGTAATCTATCGCCTATTCCGACAGGTTTCCCGTTTTTTGCCAATCTTCAATATTAATCTTTTTATTATTTATAACAGCAATTTTTCATAAATCTTTTGCTTCTTTTCAATAAACATTATAAAAATCTTTTAAATTGTTTGTATTTAATAAAATAAGTCAAGGTTATTTTTCAAACGTTAAAATATTGGTGGGGAAAAACAGACAGATTCCGGTAATTGTCCGATAGCCCTGGCACTGCATATAATTATGCGATATGGCAGTAATTCGCCGACCTTAGATCTCTAGCTTATTATTTAATAAGGATTCTTCATTTACAGAAATCTTTTTAGATATATATTATATATTGTTTGCATTTTTTTCTTGCAAAGTCCATAAATTACAATAATACAGGCCGATTCCGGTAATCATTCGCCTATTTCGGCTGTATGACAGTATATGTAACTCGCCGATCTTCGATCTCTTGCTTTATTAACCAAAGGCGAATTGAAATTTACAAAATAAAAGAAAGAAAGAAACTTTTAAATATCTTTCATTATATTTATATTTTATAAGATGAATATTAACAATATGTAACAAAAACGTTAAAAAGTACAATAGACTAAATTATACGTCGATTCCGGTAATCCTTCGCCGATTCCGACAGTATGGCAGTAACTCGCCGATATTAAATATCTTGTTTAATTAATAAAAAGTGGTTTTATTGACAATACACTGATTACATATCATTGCTATTGTTTATTTATAATCAAGGGTGCAAACATTTTGTTTAAAGTATATAGATAAGCAAATTACAGGCCGATTTCGGTAATCCTTTGCCGATTCCGGCAGTTTGCCCGTTTTCGCTGATCATAAATATTTGTTTATTATTATCATTATTTAAAAGCGATTTTTTCACAATCTCTAGGAAGATTAATGATAATATTTAGGTTTTATAAAAACATGCAAAAGGAACATTAAAAGTTGCATAAACAACGAAATAACAGGCCGATTCCGGTCACAGGCAATTTGGCAGTGGCTCGCCGATATTAGATCTCTTGTTAAATTAATCAAAAGCGATTTTATTTATAGAAATCTTTTCATAAATCATTGATATTGTTTATATCTTATAAAATTGCAAGAAAAAAACTTAAAAAGTTTAATTATTACAAAGTTACAGGTCGATTCCGGTAATTCACCGCCGATTCCGGTCGATTCCGGTAATTCGGCCGATTCCGGTAAGTCGTGTAACCGATACATTTGTGTATGATTGATAACTACCTTTTTTACATAGAACCACAACTTCAATTGTTATTATAGAACAAAATAAAAATGTTATATAGTGTAATTACTGTATAACAATAATATTAAAGATCCATTATAACTTTACATAATGCTGTTATCAGACAATTTCTTTTGTTTGTTCTAATCAAATTTTGTCAGCTATAACCACTGTCAATTTCCACATTTCACTCAGAGCTGGAGTAGATCTAGGTCATATTAGCATATAGAAATAACACTTGCAAACTCATTCACAGAATGCAGCTTTTTTTCTGAATAACTTACTGAAAAAAATGTCATCATTACAAATGTTAAACAAATTTTCTGCCATAATAGTAAAGATTTATAAACAGAACATAGCTTAATTTCAGCTTTAAATAAATATCAAAATTACCGGTGTCGCGAAAATATGTGACAATCGGATTTTTTTCTGTTTTTTGAAGAAATATTCACAAATTTGGTTGTTGTGCAAATAGTTGTTTGGAAGTTAATACTTTTTAAATATTTTATCATTGTTTTCCACTGGCGATTTAGTCAAGCAGCTTAAAAGAAAAAGAAAAAAATCAAAATATGCCATTACTGCAATTTACGGTAAATTTTGGGCTGGTTAAAATCCAGTTTATCAAATTTAAGACGATTTTTGTAGCTTATGGACAGATTTTTGATGGTTATTATAATGCTGGACAATATCTTCTAAGTACTTAAACAATTTTACATCTAGCATGTATTTTTATCACCTGCATGTATTTTTATCACCTCGGGCAATAGTAAGCAATGCGTGACCGATAAAAAGTTGACACTCAATTAAATCTACCCCGCTGGTGTTAATTGGGACTTCTGCAGTCTTTATCGATTTTTACACCTTATATAAACACTGTTGGAAGTAAAAAAGTAATCGCCAGATTTTGTAGCCAAAATGCAAAAATAATCGCCAATCTTATAAAATAATCGCAAATGGCGACTATGGCGACTGACAGCGTGAGCCCTGTAACTGTTCAGAGGTTCTACATAAGTTTGAATTATCAACATTTTAACACCCGAGTTTAGCCAAAACATCTTTCCTGTTTTGGCGCCATATGTCCTAAATGTGTTGATGTGCCATAAAAACTTAACCAAACAAACAATAATTCACCTCAAGACTTTAAATCTTGCAATATTTCAAGATGATCAGAAAATAACTTATGGCCTTAAATCTATTACTCATAGCCTTAAATCTATTTATTTAGGTCAAAGTTCAATGCAGAAGAATGGCTAGAAATGGAAAGAAAGAATATAGACAAGAAGAAAGCTGTCGCCCAGATCACAACTGAGGCCCAGCAAGAATTGAAAAATCTTGGTCGAATCAAAAGACCAACACCTCCTGAAACTTTCTTCATTGTCAATGCTGAAAGAAAAGTAAACCTCGAATCTGACAGTGCTGATGCTGAGATGATGATTGATTCTAATAATATAGAATATGTAGTTGAAACCTTAGGACAATCCGATGGCATAGATTTGGAGGAAGTTTGTCATGTTTTGAATGTACCTGATATTTTGCCAGTACCAGAGCGTTTCCGATCCAGGGAGATAGAAACTTTTCTCCGAGACGGTTCCTATCCTAGTGATTTCACTTCAAACATGAAGTGTGGTCTTAGAGGTCCTGCTGCACAGTATAAGATTATTGAGGATGAACTGTATCATGAAGGAAATAAAGTTGGAAGTAAAGGGCTAAGATTAGTTATTCATGATGACCTACCTGCACTAAAGGTAAAAGTTATTGTTGAATGCCACATTGATGACGATGGATCACATCATGGTCTCAATAAAACCCTGAATAGGATAAGTGAAAAGTACTACTGGACAGGAATGTCCGTAGATGTAAGGAAGTTTATGATGCACTGTAAAATCTGCAGCGAATCGCGTGGCAGAAGATTATTTTATGATGGCAAAAAATACGAGCAAGAGGCGCAAGAAGTAAAGTCACGGCACATAAGGAAAATGAATGATGCAGAGGCTTCTGGGTCTGACATGCAGCTTGTGGCTACTCCAGTGAGTTATGATAGTACTGACATAGAGCCAGCAGAAGGTTTTGAACAAGAGGGACATCAGGTTATAAGGCTAATTGGTCCGAATAAAGAAGTTACTGAAATAACTGTTGCAGTAGTTAATCAAGAAACTGTGACAGCAGAAAATGATGAGTCAAACGAGACAAAGAAGGTTGAAAATAATGATCAGTTTGATATCATTGCTGGTGCTACATCAAAGGGGCAATCCATTGTCACTAAAGAGATGACAGATGCTGTAGCGCAGATTGAAGCTGCTGAAGCTGCAATGGAATTGGCCGAGTTTAAAAACCAGCAAAATGTCAACTCTGAAGAAGTGGAGCATGATGGAGAAGTGGAAAATGCTGATGATATTGCAGACTTCTCACAAGCTGATAAAAAAGAACAAGGTCAAAATGAGGAAAGTAACAAAACTGAAGTGTCTCAAGATTCTGTTGAGATTGATGGAGAAACTGATGTTGAAGTGATTAAAAAAGAAATGTCAGAGGTTGAGGGTGAAATGACTCAGATAGAAACACAGGGAGGTATTTTTAATGTTCTTATAATTAAAGATGGTGATCAAGTACAGGAGATCAAAAAAGAGATAGCAGATGATGAGTCTAGTAGAATGGCCATCACAGGGAGACATACATTGGAAGAGGTAAATAAATAAGATATGATTATTGTAAGATTTAAATTTAGGGATCAATGTAATAATATTTAGGATAAAACTTTACCCAGCAACAAAAATGAAATTGATTGACTAGGACTTACACCTGCTTTATATTGTAATAAAAAGAATTTACTGTATAAGTAGATATCATATTTCTGCGTGTCAAAAAGTTAGCAAGTTTAAAATTCCAGACTTTCTTATGAGGATATATTAGTGAATCATGTAATGGTAGAATTTAATGAGTAAATGACAGACTGGTTGATATTTAAATTAGAGGTATTTTAACGATTTTCGTCAATTCTTAAAATTCGCCAATATTTCCACATTGCTGACCTAACCACTTAATACAGTAAAATCTAAGCACTGAAATCAAGCAGTCAACAGTACATAGGCTGATCAGACTACACATATGTGCTAGCAGGTTCAGGCACATATCAGTGCTACTTTCTAAATACATAAGTTTACATGCATGAAATGTGAATAACACAGTTAAAGAATAAATGACCATTTTGATGGAATAGAATTATTTAGGAAGATTAGTAAATATGATTCGAATGGGAGTGATTTAGTTTTCTTTAACATTATACAATGTATGTACATTTAGTTCTTTTGTGGTTATTTCTTTTAGTTGAATTTAGCAAACCTGAATTATGCTCCAGAGATCTATGCTGGTATTTGTGCCCTGTAAAGATTTTTAGCTCACCTGTCACAAAGTGACAGGGTGAGCTTTTGTGATGGCTTTTCGTCCGGCGTCCGTAGTCCGTCGTCCGTCAACTTTTACTTTAAATGACATCCTCATAAACCGCTGAGCCAATTTCATCCAAACTTCACAGGAATGTTCCTTTGGTGGCCACCTTTGAAAATTGTTCAAAGAATTTAATTCCATGCAGAACTCTGGTTGCCATGGCAACCAAATGAAAAAACTTTAAATATCTTCTTCTAAAAAACCCTAAGAGCTAGTGCTTAGATATTTGGCATGAAACATCTTCTAGTAAGTGTCTACAAAGTTTGTTCAAATAAAAGCCCTGGGGTCAAAATTGGCCCCGCCCCAGGGGGTCATTGATTTTCCCTATATGCATATAGTAAAAACTTAAAAAATCTTCTTTTAAAGAACTCAAAGAGCTAGAGCTAAGAAATTTAGCATGGAACATGTTCTAATGGGTGTCTACCAAGTTTGTTCAAATAAAAGCCCTGGGGTCAAAATTGGCCCCGCCCCAGGGGGTCATTGATTTTCCCTATATGCATATAGTAAAAACTTAAAAAATCTTCTTTTAAAGAACCCAAAGAGCTAGAGCTAAGATATTTAGCATGAAACATATTCTAATGGATGTCTACCAAGTTTGTTCAAATAAGAGCCTTGGGGTCAAAATTGGCCCCGCCCCGGGGGTCATTGATTTTTCTTATATCATATGTGTATAGCAAAAACTTAAAAAATCTTCTTTGAAAGAAAACAAATAGCTAGAGTTTAGATACTAAGCATGAAACATCTTCTAGTGAGTGTCTACCAAGTTTGTTCAAATAAAAGCCCTTGGGTCAAAATTGGCCCCGCCCCGGGGGTCATTGATTTTCCTTATATGTGTATAACAAAAACTTGAAAAATCTTCTTTGAAAAAACTCAAATACTTAGAGTTTAGATATTAAGCACAAAGCATCTTCTAGTGAGTGTCTACAAAGTTTGTTCAAATAAAAGCCCTGGGGTCAAAATTGGCCCCGCCCCAGGGGACATTGATTTTCCTTATATGTGTATAACAAAGACTTAAAAATCTTCTTTGAAAAAACCCAAATAGCTAGAGTTTAGATATTAAGCATGAAACATCTTTTAGTTAGTGTCTACAAAGTTTGTTCAAATAAAAGCCCTGGGGTCAAAATTGGCCCCACCCCAGGGGTCATTGATTTTCCTTATATGTGTATAGCAAAAACTTAAAAATCTTCTTCGAAAAATCCGAATAGCTAGAGTTCAGATATTTAGCATGAAACATTTTCTAGTAAGTGTCTACAAAGATTGTTCAAATAAAAACCCTTGGGTCCAAACTGGCCCTGCCCCAGGTTTGTCATTGTTTTTAACTATATGTTAAAAGAAAAAACTTGACCAGCTAGACCTTAGATGTTAAGCATGAAACATTATCTAATGGGTGTCTACCAAGTTTGTTCAAATAAAAGCCCTGGGGTTTAAACTGGCCCTGCTACGGGGGCCTATATACAGGTGAGCGACTTCAGGGCCATCATGGCCCTCTTGTTTTTAAATTATCAGACTGAGATACGTTATAGGGTTTAGAATTTTAATTTCATTATGTTGAAAAAAGTTCAAAAATAAAAATCTAATATATTTTTCATCTAGCACATCACACATAAAAAGTTTTAAGTAACGAAAAATAAAAGAGTATCATAATCAAGCATAAAATTTATTAGATTCAATTTCTGCAGTAAATATTCCATGGGAAACTTTTTTTCAGATTGTTGGTGAAAGTACAATCCATCCAATTGTTTCACCACTATCAGGTTCATATTACAAAGATGTCATATTTGTACCATGCATATTGAAGACGAGAATCATTGAGAACTTCCTGAAGTTAGGAGTAGGAGCTACAGGATACTCTCGTGCTAAGCTGATAGAGATGTCGGAGAATTTTGAGATAGTTGATGATGTTTTGTATAGACGACCGTCTCGTTACAAAGGCAGACAAATTGTCCTTCATGATGACACACCAGAGGTAAACAGGTTAATGTTATATATTTAGAGGTTTACTCGTTAATACATGGCAGAGTAAGGCCAGAAGATGACATTCTGCCAGCAAAATGAGTAATGGCCCATGGGTTACAGCCCATGTGCATAATTCATAAAAGGTAGTTTCTGATGTGTAATAATGTCTTTAATTCACTTGATAGATTAAATATTATCACTATTTTTAATTACTAAGATAATTCTGTCCTTGAGATTCCTGTCTCTGAAGTGTTCAGTAACTTATAAAAAATTTTACATAACCTAAAACACAAGCTTCGTTTCCGGTGTTCCATCATTAAATGTAAACAAAATGATTTTAAGAATTCTAGCTTTCTATTACATTTGCAAATTTCCACTTGTCCTGCCAGATGACCCTACAACGATTTTGTACTCGTCCTGCATTGATGTCTGCTCGTAAATACGAGCTGACAAGTGGAATTTTCGATCCCTGAACAAGTGTATTTAATAAAGATATCTTACATGAGCTATTATATAGATCTAAGGTAAACAAGTCTGAGAAACTGTTATGAAGAACGTCTGTGACAAACTTTTTGAAATGTAAACCTATTATTATTACTAATAGCATTAGAAATTGCTATTTTTGTCACATGATTTTGAAGCTGGAAAAGGCAGTGAAGTCAACATTGTTATTTTTATAGTGTATTGTGTAAAGAAATATATGTAATACAAGTTTGTCCAAACTATATTAGATTTTAGTCTAACTTCACTACCTATATTACGCAGAATATGCTGCCAGGACAAATTGTGATCAATCGATTGAAAGTGAATTGTTATTTTTTTATATGGAAAACCTTTAATACCTTTTTAGAACTTAAGTACATCTTTATTTATTTATTTCTCTTTTCATAGTTAAAGTGGAAGTTTATATCAGAACTGCATGTTAAGCGTAATGGTACCCACAGCTCCGAGGTGATTACTCTCCAGAATGTATCATTCAAATATTTCTGGGAGGAAATGAAATGGGACATTCATCGTTGGTATCCAACGTGCAAGACATGCGTAAATGAGGATGGTATTGAAAGGAGATCCAACAAGAAGATACTCAGTGTCGAGGAGCAGAAAATGTTGCTGGAACAAAAACGAAGGGAGAACCGTATGTCAAGCACGAGTATTTTAAAATCACGCACATTTAGAAATAAAATGAAACAAAAAATTTATGAAATCCAGCATCCACAAATTTACCAGATGGGAGATGAAGATATTAAGAAAATGGGTGGAATAGAAATTAAAGGTGAGTATAGCAGGCATTATCATTAAATGATCATTAAATGCCAACTATTTTAACTATACAGTATACTGGTATATCTATTTTAAAGTCAGTGCATATAATTAATGATATTTCAGAAATTATTTACTATCAACTAATAAGGATGTATTATGAATTGGAAAATAATTCCTACAAACAAAAGAAATAAAAAATAACAAGCAAACATAAAAATCATATGAATTCATCACTTTGATTAACATGATTTAAAGAATGAAGACATGCAGCTTTAATGCAATTATTAATTGAAGTTACAGGTACTTGTCCTAATACATGTACAAAGATTTTTTTCTTGTTAAAGAGGCTCTAGTCCTAATACTATTTATCTCTGTTAATTATACTCGTTCTTGTATAATTGAATATTCTCAATTAAAGGTACTCGTACAAATGAAGATTCAGACTTTGAGTTGTCAATTCCTGGTTTATCAGAGGATGGTAAAGCTCATGTATTGAAAGTCAGGTAAATAAAATGTTTTTTTAAATGTTACGGTGCTATTTAACTTATCTTAAAGACAGTTCTGTCTGTAAGCCAATAGAGTTGGCAAAATAATTGGCTACTGCAGAATTTATAGCCTTTTATACATACTAAACCACAACTAATAAAATTCCCTTATACATACTAAACCACAACTTATAAAATTCCCTTAGAAGTGCCTTACAGCTGGCTATCCTCAAGTTTTGACTGGCATTTATGAACTTTATGGAGAGTATTGTGGGTAAAGTTTAGTCAATTGTTTAATAATCATCTGGGCAAATCAAGGTTACTTCTTAAGTTTGTAGTTGAAAGTTTTATGTGTGGTTAAAGAGCCACCAGTAGAGTCTAGTCAGCATGAACAATTGCTTTTGTGCACAACTTCTCCTACATTGATTAACAGGTATAAGCTAAACCTTCACTTCAGGGCATTGTTGTCATTAAATGCCTTAGCATGTATTGTTGTGGTTGTATTATTTGATTATTCTTGGTGAAACCATTAACTATTTGTCAAGCTGTTGTTCTTTTTTTACACCAATGTCTTTGTTGACAGCAAACAAAGACTGTCAGTTTGATTATGTTGGGACAAATTATATCTTGATCTTGCTGGTATTGGATGAATTTGTAAATTTATTATACAGGTTCATTTCTAAGCAACTCACTGATGAGTCACTAGTAGTACAATACCCTAAGTTAGCCTGCTGGAATCTACAGGTTCTATCTGTGTGAACAGTGCAGACCAAGATCAGCCGGCACATCATTCTCTGCTGTCTGATCATTGTCTGCACTGTTCGCTATTCAGTCATTACATCTTTTGAAATTTTCCCTAAAAGTGATGAATGGTTTTGTCCAGATTGAATAAAGGACAAGTCCATTTAAGTAATTCAGGAGGGTTAATCTTGTTTTATGATTTCAGGAAGAAACCAAACTGGAATGTACTATATGATTTGATGATATATGCCACACTGAACCAAGAACAGTGTATTAAAGAGATGTATGCTAAGAAAGGATGGAAATACAACCTTATATCAGTGTCTAAAGCCGTGGAAGAGGAAATCTTTGACAAGGATGAAGATTACTATTTATTATCATTGAAAGTTACATCTGTACAGGAGAATGCCATCACTGAATTGTTCAAGGCTATGGGACTCGCTATAGAATGTAAGAATTTAATATTATACTTGTATATTTAGTATAAATGTATGCTAACTATGCCATTCAAACATTGGTATTTTTCTGTTGTTAAAACCTTGTGTACATTAAATCTACTTTACTTTAATCTTGTAAAAATAGTTAAATAAAATGAATCAATGTAACTTTGAAATCCATAACAATCCAGAAAATCTGGAAACTTTTAAAATCTGAAGAATTTTTAGGGTCCCAAAATTTCTCGTTCTGTGGTGTTTATACTTCTAAATTCTGAATTCCCACTTTTCTGGTGAAATTTGTATTTGATATAGGGGTGTCTAAGTTTAAAAAAAAATGCTTACCAGTTAAACGGAGACCAGATAACCATGCTTAATGTTGAACCGACTAATAAAATCCTTAGTCTTAGATTTTCAACATTAACTTTGTTTCTTTATGACAAGTTATGACATTTTGTTCGCATTTTTTGTACTCAAAATGATTACAATATGGAGTGACCATTTTCTGATAAGGTAGTACTGTAATTGATCAGATCAGGAAAAAATAAATGTTGTTTAGTACAACTAAAATACAAACAAATTGTCAAATCTTGTTATAAGATACTAATGTAATATTAAGAATCAATTTAAAACTTTTTCTCCTCTTTGACAAATACTACTCTCGGTTACTGGTTTTTGAATTTTCTATCCAGTTTGAAACGGATAAATATGACACCTCTAATTTGATATATCAGTATGTTGTTGATATTTTATCAGCTATGTATTAATATTTCATCTTTGACTGAATCAGTGCCAGCTGTTATTAATTTTATTTACCAACTTTAACTCTAGTACCATTCACTTAACAGTCTGTGCGAAAGTCTGTCGGTCCTCGGACCTCGCCAACTAAAAATCAGGAGTGCCGAGATATATTTAGATACAGTCGGTCCTCATGTCCGAATAAAATTTAAGCCAGTTTGAAACAATTTTTGGCCTTCTTAAATATGCAAAACTTCTAAGATCGATCTTTTTTTTCATTTTTGCTTGTATTCACAAACCCAGATAACCAAAATCACCGCAAGATACAACCAGTTTTTGCTAAGTAATGTAAGCCACCATCTTGTCTTGGATAATTTCCTTACCAAAACATATTTTTTCTCCAACCTTTGAAAGATGTATCGTTTTCTTGTGAATTTAACTAAAGTTTTACCGTATTGTTTCTATTTATAGCCCCCCTTCTAATTAGCGCCCCCTGGGTGAAAAATGAAAAAAAAATCTTACCTGACTTGAAAATTTTAATATCCGAAGTGTATTTTAAAAAATAAACAGAAAAAAACTAACTGTTGTAACTTCCAAGTAACATTCAACTTCCAGTTTGAATGCATTCGTGTACGTTTTCTTAGAAGTGCAACCTTCCATTGTGTATTGATTAAATCAAGTTTTTTACACACAGGTAAACTGATGTGTGTTACGTCATAATTTCCCGCCAGAGCAGGAAAAATCAATACTTGACAAAGTTTATCTCGGTCAGCGGACTACCGTATTGTCTACAATAATTTTGTGCTGCTTATTTATCGTACGTGAACAAGGGGTTTATAGGACGAAAATAGTTGGGAGATTTTTAGATATTTTTAAACATAAAATTAATTTTCATTTTATGCAAATGTGCTTCTAATTAACGCCCCCCGTTTCCGTTTTTGCAACGCCCCGGGGGCGATAAATGGAAACAATACGGTATTTATTATGTTTTTGTATATTTTTTTCATAGTATCTAATAGTTGAGTCTGATAATTCATATTTTCTAAATATTTATGTTTATAATTATGGCAATATCCCTCCCCCACCCCTACAAAAAATACCTTTCAGAGTCCGGGCCGGGAAAAAATCATCAGGGCCGGAAATAAATCTAAGATCCCAGTCCTTGAGGCTGGAAATTTTTTTTGACTTTCGCATTGACTGCTAAACAGGAGGGCAATTATAAGTGCATTACTTAAAGTTAATTTTCAAAAAAAATGAAAGGAATGCTTATTTGCAATATGACTTAAGATGCCATGTCAATAAACCAAATGTCACGAAAATTACTTCCTTTGTTCAATGACGTTTAGCATTTTTTTGTTGATTCTCTTACTATAAGTATTTTACATTAGAATGCAAAAAGGTGTCAATTTTTCTTTTGTTATATCACAGTTATGAATGGGTCATTGTTCAAATGCTTTGTAAACAATAATTGAATCCTACATGGCCAGGTGGTTTAGGACCTTGCCTTCAAATCACTTACCCTCAATGTTGTGGGTTTGAATCCTGTCAGAGACTTCAGATTTAGATTCCGGAAGGTCTGTGGTTCAACTCAGCTGCCTCCTGCCTGAAATAATGCATGAAGTGTCACCTGAGGTCTTCCATCAAAGGTGGGAAGTCACCAAATAAATTTTGTTGATGTGACTTATAATCCAACAAACATACCAACAAAACAATTTTACTGCACATCTGAACTTGAACTGTACATTATTCTACAACAATTCATACAAAATTGAAATAGTTTTAAGCAAAACAATATGTTTTCAATAATCTTTTTTTCAGCTGCTGATGATTCTAACAATGCAACTTTGTCTTTTCCTGATGGGAACCAGGCAACAGGTGACAATAAAGTGGAACCAGCTGTACAGGAACTGGAAGTACATAATGATGATACTATTGCAGAGAAGGATTCTACAAAAAACTCATCACTGGAATTACAAAAAAATTTACAAGGTATCAATGAATTTTTATGTGGTTTTAATAGTTAATGTGGCTTTATTTCTTATGATGCTTATGATGCTTAACGGAGATACAGGTGTAAGACTTTGTAAGTTATAACAAAATAACGAGCATATTGCATGTGCAGTGTTATCAACTATTGGAGATTTATATCTTTGTGCAATTGATAGTTATTAACTTATTATTAATTGTTTCCAGAGTTTTTATTAATTGTTTAGTTTATACAAATTTATTTTAATTAGATTGTGCTGGAAGCTATAAGCTTATTGAAACACTCTGAATCTGTTCCTGGAACCAACCAGTACTAAGCAATGAAAGTAAAGTTTCTTGCTCAAGGAAACAACGGCTTGCCCCTGACAGGGTTTGAAACCATACGGTCAGCAAACCGTAAGATTACTAGTCTGACGTGTTAACCACTCAACCACGCCGCCATTTATAATTGTTTCCAGAGTGATTTTTAAAATAAACTGTTTGTCAAAAAATAATTTTTACCTTTACTGTATTAAAACGTTGCATAAATCAACAATTATGTAAGGAAAAAGTCATAACTTCACATAAATTATGTCTCCCAAAATAATTGGGAGACATATATTGTTTTTGTCTTTGCCGTCTGTCTGTCCATACTACCGAATAGGGATTGGGGGCTATCTAACTGTAAACAGAACAAAATGGAACAATAGAATTCATTCTGTAACAATAGAATAAGGGGCCATGGCCCTCTATTAAACAAAAGAAAATAACAATAGAAATGGCCCTTTATTCCTATACGGTCGGATATCCGTCCCTCCTGTTGTCCGTCTGTCTGCATTAAGCTTGTCCGCCCTTCAAAGGTCAAACTACTGGTGGGATTTCAACTATACTTTACAGGAGTGATCAGTACCATTCCTAGTTGTGCACATCACCGGCACGTTCTGCTTTGCTACACAAAATGGCTGTCAGAGCTAAAAATAGAAAAATATTGTCCGTCCTTAACAGTCAAACTACTAGTAAGATTTCATCTAAACTTTACAGGAGTGTTCAGTACCATCCCTAGTTGTGCACAATACCGTGTCGTTCCGCGTCATTGCACAACATGGCCGTCAGAGCTATAAATAGAAAAATATTGTCCGGCTTTCACAGGTCAAGCTACTGTTGGGATTTCAATGAAACTTCACATGAGTGACCATACATAGTTTTGGAAGACATATGTTTTTGTGACAAAAACCCTTCTAGTTTATGGTGTATTTGTTTTTTTACCATCTGTTTTATAAAACTCATTCATTTTAGCGTTAAGTAAGGAAAGATAATTCTGCTCTTGTTTTTAAGTAACCTGGATACCTAATAGCATTTATTAAAACATTTTCAGACACTTCACCAACAAAGCAGCCTAAAGGTCTAGTCCGTGTAGAATTTGAGAGACTTCAGCCTTCAAATGAGAAAGTTGACATAAAATCGACAATGGTAAGAAAGAGTGGCAGTATATTGTCAGATGTAGCATCAAAAATTAGAAGAACTGAGCCAGGTGATGTGGGTAAACCCTCTCTTGTTCAGTCCCCAAAGATAAACACCAGCATTATTGATCAAGTTTCAACCAGTTTTCAATCTACAAGACGCTTCAACATTCTTACAAAATCTCCGGTAAAATCAGCAAGAGCAACTACTGTGCAAAGTGTCTCACCAGTTAAACCTGATACTATAAAAGCCACTGTTATAGATTCACCAGCTAAAGCAGAAGCAAGAATTACTCCTAACATTATGCCAGTGATTAAATCGGATACTAAGAAAACTGATAACTCTGTCTGTCAAAGTACACCAGTTGTTGATAAATCAGCAACAAAGAGAAAGATAATGGAAACACCAGTTTCAGAAAACCGTAGGTCCAGAAGGGAGATCAAGAAACCAAGAAGATTTAGCCCTGATAATTCACCTCCCCCAAAACCTGCCATGATAAAGATTGAACCACCTCCAATGCTGGATGAAGTGGAAAATTCAGATGAAACTGATGATACTGAGCAGCTTGAAACACCGAAGAGGTCAAGAACCAGAGGAAGGGAACCAGCAAATGTTAGGGCCATTGTTACCTCCCCAAAGAAGAGTGCTCCTAAATCTCCTAAAGCAGGTACATCCGGAAACACAAGGTTTTCTCAGAATTTACCTTCAGACATAGATTTGGCAAGAAAGCAGAAAGAACAAGATCAGGGCGAAGAGGTAAAGACACAAAAAGATAACAAAGTGAAAGAGCCTGCCCAAGCAAAAATTTCAGTTATGAGTAAAATAAGAATAAGAGTGAAGAAAGTTCCAAAAGAAATAAATTCTTATCAAACAAAATCAGTACAAGATAAAAACTTAACCAACACTAAGAAAAATGAAGAATTAGATAAAGATGTGATGAGTTCAGAAGGCAAAACAGTCAAACCGAAACTGAGGATGATGTTACACATATCATTGATGAATTAGACTATGATGATGATGACGATGAAGATGATGATGAGGATTACGATGAGGACGATGATGATGATGAAATGGATATTGATGATGAAGAAGAAGAAAGCATGAAATTACCTCTTCATGTTATTCTAAATGATGACATAGAAACCATGGAACCAGTTGAAGTCGGTAAAGGTTATGCTTGTTCTTTGTGTGATGCAAAGTTTCCCAATAAAAGTAAATGTATTCAGCACGGCCAGAAGAATAACTGCATGGTGGAATGTGAACTGTGTGGTGTAACATACAGGAAGAAAGACCAAGCACAGTTCACAATTCATGTTGAGCAGCATCAGAAAAGCAAGAAATTTCCGTGCAAAAAGTGTAAAAAAGTTTTCTTTAGTGACGAGCATTTGAAAATTCATTCCAGATGGCATAATAATGAAGTAATGACAAAGTGTGGCAAGTGTAAGGAGGATTTTTACACATGGTTTCAGTATGCAGCACATATGGTGTGTCAACACAAGGAGTGTAATATGTTTACATGTGATGTGTGTAATGCTAAATTTGCCAGTATTAATTTTATGAAGAGCGAGTTGAAGTTTGACGGAAAGTTATCATATTTCAGATGCATTATGTGTGATAAGTAAAACTGTAAGAACATCATGGATTGGATATCATACTGACAATTGAAAAAAAAATATGTATCAATGTATTATCAAAAATTGAACTATGTTGTAGGCTTATTTAACAGTAAATATGTTTTTTCTAAGCCCTTGACTTATAAATAAGTTTTGTTTTTCAATTTTACTGGTATGAAAACAATATTTACTTCTCGATTACATGATATAAATTGTTAGTATAGTCCATAGATAAAATGTAAATGTTAACTTTTCTAGAATAATCGTTTTTACAAATGTATGATACAGGACATAATGAAATAATGAAGAAATGCTTCACACTTGAATCGCAACCATCAAAATTAATAATAATAAACTTGGTTTATTAGATCATTGTTAATTTTATATTCAATAAAATGAAGAGATTATAATAATGGGGATGTCGTATCTTGTATCTGTATTGGGTTTTCAACTTTTCACATTGATTAATGTTAGTGTAGGAATAAACCTCAATTCAGTTTCTACATTTAAAGATAAGAACTTTTTTAACATGTCACAAATGAGCTGTTATTTGTCCGAACATTTCACAAATGTCATATGATGATTGCTGTGTATAATATGTAGGCATCTTTCTGTAAATCTTAGGCGGAGAGGAAAAAAAAATTCTCAGAAAGAAAGGTAATCAGGATTATCAGGATTTTATTGTTTACTGGCACTCTTTTTCATCTTGCCTACATCATTTATCTTTATATTTGGATAAAATTCCTGTTAATTGTGTCCCCACTTTGGGGGGAGGGGCATTTAGATTTACCCTTGTCAGTCCATCCGTCCGAATTTCATTTCCGCGCTAGTTCTCTGCAACTACTGGCTGGAATTCAAAGAAACTTTATGCGCATATTGTTGCTTTCTTCCGGTCAGTTTTTTAAACTCAGACTTATGGCCCTTGATTAGTTATGCAGTATGCATATAGAGCAATAATCGTTTCCATGCTACTTCTCTGCAACCACTGGCTTAAGTTCAACAAAACTTTATGGGAACCTTCAATACCAAGAGGAGATTCGCATATTGTCGCCTTGTTCTGGTCAGACCTTTCAATACAGAGTTATGGCCCTAGATTAGTTATGCAGTATGCATATAGAGCAATAATTGTTTCCGTACTATTTTTCTGCAAGTACTGGCTGGAATTCAAGGAAACTTTATTGGAACCATCAATATCAAGAGGAGATGTGCATATAATTGCCTTGTTCTGGTCAGGCCCTTTAACACAGAGTTATAGCCCTTGATTAGTTATGCAGTATGCATATAAGGCAATAATCATTTCCTCGCTATTTCTCGGCAAGTACTTGCTGGAATTCAATGAAACTTTATTAGAACAATCAATACCAAGGGGGGATGCGCATATCATTTCTTTGTTATAGTCAGACCCTTTAAGACAGAGTTATATGGCCCTTGATTAGTTGTGCAGTATGCATATAGAGCAAAATTGCTATTTCTTTTCAACTTCAGGATTGATTTTAACACTTTATGGGAACCATCAGTACAAAAAGGAAATTTGCTTGCCATGATAAATTTATGTTAATAAAGCCTTATGTCTCCAGTTGCTGCATGAGTAATAAACAGTACTCCGCAGGGGATATAAATTCAACGAATTTGCTTGTTTTTGCTGAAACTGGCTAGAAATTTGTTATTTATGAATGAATTGTCTTTATGTTTAAATATAACATCCTTTAGGACAAGACCTTATGAAGATCAAGCTAACTGACATTAAATGACATTGAATTTTCATTGTTTGTTTTTTTGCTATGATTGGTGGTAAAGCATTGTTATTAGTTTATGGAAATCAGTATTACCTAGACAAACATGGCATACAAATGCAAAATTACACTGTGTTTGGGCGTATGCCTGCGTGTGTGTGAAGTTTCATATCTCCGACAGTTTATAATAAAAGTAAAATATATTTATGAAAACATCACTATATACATGATTCATTGAAAACATCTTGTGTGGAAATTCTGATAGCGAGTCAGAAACATTTATGCATGTAGACAGTGATGGAGTTATTGAGATAAATTACGTGTTAAGTAGTTCTCTGATGAAGATGAACAATAATAACAATGTTGAAAATAATGTGTATCCAGTGTACCATATTCAGAATAAAAATATTAACTTTGAATAAAAGAAGCTTCAATAACTATTATAACAAACAAAAAGGACAAGATAACAACAATCCTATAAATTATTTACAAATACAGCTCGTACTTGTACTATTACCCAACTATATTGTGATGAATTTCCTGGACTGTAAAGTTATTCGTGTGAACTATCCAATAATAACACTTAATTACATCATGGCAATTTAATTGAACATTACCCGAAAGCGCAGAGGAAGAACATTTTAACATTTACATAAAATTATTACATTAAAGTGTGATGCATTCAAGGACGTTTTCTGTAGTTTTCATATTGGCATATAGGCAAAATTATTATGTTATCATATTCTAACAACATGCCAAGTTTAAAGAAATTCTATTTTGCCTATATGTCTATATGTAAACTCCCAAAAACGTCCTTAACTTAATAGATGTGGTTGTAGACAACTAATTGCTCTCTTGAATCTAAGGTTCTATCTGGTTATATTTCCTCAGGCCAGCCTGGTCACAACTCCTCAGGCCAGAGAGACGGGTCAACATTTGTTTCAATGGATCAACGTTAGTTACAGATGAAGACATCAAGGGATGAAACCACTAATGGGCATTATCTAATTAACATATCGATGGTCTCACTATCAAATTCCAGACCTACATTTTTAGCTCACCTTGCACAAAGTGCAGGTGAGCTATTAGGATGGCCAACCAAATGGCGTCCGTCGTCTGTCGTCCGTCCACATTTTAAATATTCTAAGGACATCTTCTATGATACCGCAAGGCCAATGTTAATGAAACTTGGCAGGAATACTCTTTGTATGAAGCTCTATCAAGATTGTTCAAAGAATTCCATTTCATGCAGAACTCTGGTTGCCATGGCAACCGAAAGAAAAATCTTTAAATATCTTCTTTTAAAGAACCGTAAGAGCTAGAGCTTAGATATTTGGCATGAAACATCTTCTAATGAGTGTCTAACAAGTTTGTTCAAATAAAAGCCCTAGGGTCAAAATTGGCCCCGCCCCAGGGGGTCATAGATTTTCCCTATATGCATATAGTAAAAACTTAAAAAATCTTCTTTTAAAGAACCCAAAGAACTAGAGCTAAGATATTTAGCATGAAACATCTTCTAATGAGTGTCTACCAAGTTTGTTCAAATAAAAGCCCTGGGGTCAAAATTGGCCCCGCCCCAGGGGGTCATTGATTTTCCCTATATGCATATAGTAAAAACTTAAAAAATCTTCTTTTAAAGAACTCAAAGAGCTAGAGCTAAGATATTTAGCATGAAACATGTTCTAATGGGTGTCTACCAAGTATGTTCAAATAAAAGCCCTGGGGTCAAAACTGGCCCTGCCCCGGGGGTCATTGATTTTCCTTATATGTGTATAGCAAAAACTTAAAAATCTTCTTTGAAAAAACCCAAATAGCTTGAGTTTAGATATTATACATGAAACATCTTTAAGTAAATATCTACAAAGTTTGTTCAAATAAAAGCCCGGGGGTCAAAACTGGCCCTGCCCCAGGGGTGTCATTGTTTTTAACTATATGTGTATAGTAAAAACTTAAAAATCTTTTAAAAAACCCAATGAGCTAGAACTTAGATGTTTAGCATGAAACATCTTCTTATGGGTGTCTACCAAGTCTGTTCAAATAAAAGCCCTTGGTAAAAATTGGCCCGGGGGGGGGGGGGGCTATATAGAGGTGAGCGACCTCATGGCCCTCTTGTTTAACTCCCCTGAGCACAGAGTGCTCAGTGAGCTTTTTGTGATGACAATTTGTCCGGCGTCCATTGGTCCATTGTGCGCCCGTCATCAACTTTTATTAAACAACTTTTTTAAAGGAACCGCTCGGCCAAATTTGATGAAATTTTCCTGGGAGGTTCCTAGTATGAAGCTCTACTTAAATTGTTCAAATGGTTCTGCTAAATTGAACATCTAGGTCAGGAGGGCTAAAAATAGATTTTTGAAATGAAATCTTTAAAAATCTCTGAAAATGCAAGGCCTAGAGCTTAGATATTTTTTATGGAGCATCATCTCGTGAATCTCTACATAAATTGTTTAAATTATAGCCCTGGGATCAAAATTTGCCTTGTCCCAGGGGGTCATTGATTTTCCTTATATGTTAATATTAAAAACTTAAAAAATCTTCTCCTCTGAAAGTGCAAGGCCTAGAGCTTAGATATTTTGTGTGTAACACCATCTAATAAAACTACAAAAATTGTTAAAATTATAGCCCTGGGGTAAAATTTGGCCTTGCCCGGGGGTCTTTGATTTTCATTATGTACATATTGTAAACATATATCAGGATGGAAAAAATAAATACAATTCTTATACAGTTTTCTGAGTTTATAAGTTTTTCGGCATCAACAGTGTTAAAAATATTGGATTTAAATACATACAAACTTATTACCACATAATGTTTTGTTATACCGGTTCGATGCGCGCCCCTTTTTGGAGATATATGCTAGAGGACTGATAAAATGAAAATCCAAGATTTAAATTTTGAAAAACATAAGTGCTTTATTCTGTGACAGTCAAGATGGAATATGACTTCACAGAATTTCTGACCAGTATATATACATTCAAGAAAGTGAAGCAAATTAAATCGTAAAGGAAGATATTGACACATTTAAAAAGGGAAAGGAAATAAAACAATCACATATTCAATAGATATGTGATGGCAGATCTCATAATTATTCCCTAAGGGCCTAAAATCCCAGATCATATAAACCCTTTATTTTACCTTTAAGCAGGATATATTAATTTTGCGTTTTAATCTGTAGATTTAATCTTAGTTATAATTTAAGCTTGACACATTTAATGTGAAATGTAACAATAGTTGAAATAAAAATAATCACGTACACAATTAAATGAATAAGAAAAAAACTTAAGTAAGAAAGAGAAGATAAATTATACATTAAAGTATATGTGCATTAACTGTTTAAGACTTACAAAACAAACAAAAAATACAAGATAAATTTAGATTATAACAGTTTCTCTGGTTAGTTTTGA